GTCCGGCTCCGCCCACCCGGGGGTCCCCGTCACAGAGCTGCTTCACAGACAGAGGTCTCACTCTGACGCACATTTACTGAGACACAATCTCTGTTGTAATCACAAGTGGCCCAGGAAGTAGAACGTATTGACGTAGGCCACTGTGCTGTGGCTTTATGCTGCTTTATACTTCTCCTTCACTACTTTTCATTACATTTATCTCATAACCTTCTGCCCTTTGTGGTTTGAGATCTGCTCAAAACGTTGTCTAGCTGTGGCTCCGTGTCATGTTTCTGGGGTCCCTGAGAGGCTGGATAAATCTTTAATGTCCCCAAATGAACACCTTGTCCAGCACACAGCTGTCAATAAATGTGTCCGCTACTCCTTTAAGGCCCAAGGAGTAAAACTGTCATTTCATTAGAATATGAAACATTAAAGATTTGTTTCAGAACTTTTTTTTTCTCCACTAAACACGACGGTCCCTTGAATTTACCTAGTGGAGGGGCCCTAGGTTTAAACTAGGGGATAATTGGTTGCCTCTAAGCTGCTCCATTAACGTGGAATCTAAACGCACTGAGGAAGTGTTTTCAGTCCCGGACCTCCTCTCCCCACACTGACACATGTCTGTCATCAAGTCATAGTCCGGGACCTTGTCACTTTCAAATTAAGCTCATCACTGCATCAGTAATAATGTGTGGTTATAATGTGTCAGTCACAGGGGATGACTTTGTTCAAAACCAGTACTTTGAGCTGATAATACTCTTGTACTTCCATATATTTACTGTAAGCAGAGCTGCCCCTGCAGGCCTTGAACCTGCAGTGCAGCGCTGTGGTGTTTTACTTGTGTAAAGGCTGTGAATGCTTGTGCCACTGAATGTTGTTTGTTTGAGGCTACGTAACCAAACATGGCTGTGGGTAATGTAACCGTTCAACAGCAGCACAAACTAGTACTTTTCCTCTCTGTCAGGTAAATAAGTTTTCATCACCTCAGTCTGTGTGTGTGAGCCTGTACGACAAGCGGGGGTGGGGTCAGGAAACACCTGGAGGCCAGGAAGCATGCACACAAAGACAGAGAGCAGAAGGTTCTGTTTTAAAACCTGTGAACCTGAACCACAGGATAAGTTTCTGCTGGCGTCTTCATGGTGGTGCTTGTCTGACCTTTGACCTCCTCCTGAGTCCTAGAGCAGCTGAGTGCTGATTAGCCAACACTGTGTCCCTCGGGGGTGCCTGGACTTGTTCCTGTGATGTAATGAAACAGGGGGGTCATCTCAGCTGGTGGTGATGATGGGGGGTGTCTTAATTGACCCACATATTTACAGACACACAAGGCAGTGAAAGCTGTTTACAAAACCAGGAGGGCACCGAGCAGCAGATCGACAGATTCATATCTCAAATGTGGACGTTTCTTTCATCTTACAGGAACTACCCACAATTCCTAGTGCTGTGGTACTGACGGTGTGTGATGGTTGGGAGAGCGGCTGCCCCCTCTGCTGGACGCCACTGTGCATTAGGGCCGCAGCAGCGGTGTGTCATTTAGCCTTCACTGAAATGTGGCTTTACTTCTGAAAAGGCAGCAAAACTAACATTCTGAGAAATGTGAGTAAATTTGACTAAATAAACCACTTGACATCAAATCGTACAACTCTGAGTGAGCAGAAGAAAATAAATGGGACATGAGGTAAAAAGTAATGTTAAAATGACAAAAACCCAAAACGACATCACTTTGTGACAAGTTGCTCTAGTGGCCTTTTTATTTGGCACAGGTATGTGATTCTGATTCCGATTCCGATTCTGATTCCGATTCTGATTCCGATTCCGATTCTGAGGTATGTGAGCTCCCTCCATGTTGTTGTGGTGTTTACATCTGGTTTGCACTCATAATTCAGATTTTTATATAATGGTGAGAAACTGTACATTTTCTGTTTGCTGCTCATAAATAATGTTAATCTTTATAGAAAATAAATATTAGTGTTCACACATTCATTTCATGCACTTTAAATGTGTGTTAGTCTTTGTTGTTAGTTTATTCCAGTTATTGTTTAACCAACCTTTGTCTAACTTGAAGATCTGCTGTTTTGTTCCTCAACAATTTAATCATATGCCACAACTCCCGTCCTGCGTTTACCTCCACTGTCAAATTCATTGTCTTCTACAGTATAGTCCCCTGCTGCTGCGCAGGTGCGCCCCCTACAGGCTCAGTCTGGTGTAGTAAAAGATACTCCTGTAGTAAAAACATCTTTCAAAAATACTTTGGAAGCTGGGCCATAAATATATTTAGCTGGTTTTTATTCATAAACATGTCGCTGTGTTAAATGTCATTTGTTGTGATTTTCTCAGTCGAACGCCTGCAGGATGTAAACATGATCATAGGAGCCGAGGCTGCTGATTTCCTGTCATCTTCTGCTTACACTGGCTCTTCTCCAACAAACTTGAATCAAATACCAGAGAAATTTTCTAAAAGCTACAATTTTATGTAGAAGCGGAAACAAACATGCAGCACGAGATGAAGATGTTTCCTGTGGGATTTTCCTATGAAGATTTTCCGTCGTACGTGACCGAAGCATGTCAGATACACAAAGTAAACAAAGATTCTTCATGTTTAGCCCCAGTAGGACAATCATTTACAACTACACGAGCACAAATCCCATGTGCAGGTCCAAGCCAACAGTGTCTGTGTGTTTATGTTCTGACTTGTCTCCACCCAGTCTGCTCTCAGCTCTCAGCCCAGTGGTTCATGTCTAAAATCCTCTCAGTGGTGTCCTACAACAGCTGCTCACTGTAGTTTCTATCAAACAGGAGGAAACAGTGCACGTGACGGGGACTACTTTCAGCAGTGGATGAATCAATGAAGCATTTGTACAGATGATACATCCGTCACTATAAATAATAATACAATCGAAAGGAACATGAGTTCTATGTTTTTGAAGCCCATAGTTGAAAAGGAAATTATAGAGATAGTGAATAAATGTGGTAACAAAACATCTAGTGATAGTGATGGTATCACTATGACAACTGTTAAATGGGTAATTGAGGACATATGCAAACCATTAACCCATATTTTTAACATGTCATTTCGACTTGGGCAGTTCCCTAA